CAAGATATTACTGCTAGTAAATTCAGTCCAGATGGGTTTAATGTTCACATTCATAAAATGATGCAAAATGAGGATAAGCACTCATTTACTCCCCTCTGTGCATCTCTGGCAGCTGAAGTCTTGCCTGTTAGCTGGGTTTAGTTTCCCCTGAGCTGTCAGGATCTCAGGGACACGAACATCCAGTTTATCATCCTGCTGACATGCAAAGCTTTTCTTATTATTTCACTGTGGCGCCTGCTATAGCGGCTCAATAAATTTATGATTGACAATAGATAAGCAGAGGAGTTGATAAAGGATTATTCAATGCAGAGTGTGAGAAGATGTGATGAGGAAGCTTGGTATGGAGAGATAAATCAGGCTCCTGCAATCAGATAAAGAAGCTTTTGTTGTGTTTAGTGTTTCTGATCTCCAGGTAACAATCAATTCAAAAACACACTGAGCCTCAAAACTCATTAGAATCAGGAGTGTTTTACTGTTTGTTGTGGTGCAAAGTGTGAATAGATACTTTTTCTTGTGTAACACCAGCTGTTGGTGCTAATTATGAAACAATGGACGCTCGCGCTTTGTAATTTACCCAGCGTGTTTTTATCACATTTTTTTTCTCTCAGCTCACCAGCAATCTGGCATTCATGAAGATGATCAGCTATTGTTAATATTCACTCCTTCAGCAACACTTCTGTCCTGTTATGAAGGCAGATGACAGATCCAAACATCTCCATCCTAATATTTCAGCAGTGGATCTCCAGTAGCTGTTGGTCTTGTGACAAATCTGAAGAAGCCTCTAAGTGAAGACAATGTGTGAGAATCTGCTTACAGGACAGCTTTTCGTCAGTTTTTTCAGCAAAGAAAGGACAACTGTTGAATTGAAATTGAATGTTGTTCATATGATCTGACTGAGCCTGAGGTTTATATCAAAGAAAAGTGTTCACACATTCCAGTTTCAAAATGCACAAACTCCCAGACTGAGAGCTGCTGGTGCTGTAAAAGTTGCTCTAAAATGTTCTGACTTGTGCTAGAAGAAAGTATAATAAAAACTGTAATTTCCTCCCACTTTCTGTTGCTTATGAGGCTGAGCCAACACAAAATGCACTGAACAATGTGGTATTACAACATGAAAAATTACAAGCGGTGCGAATACATTTGGAATGAAGCTCATAGTTTGAAAGGTATTTGCATCCCATTGTATTTTACGACACCAACACCTTGAAAACAGACAAACCCTCCGACACTGGGAGCGGTTTTGGCACAGTTTCTGTCTTTTTTGGGGAGTTTTTGTGTCATTGATGACTTTAGGCTGTTCTGTCGGCTTCCTCTGCAGACTCGCGGGGCTGAGGTGGCTCCTGCAAGACGGAGCTGAGTCGGCTGAACATATGGCAAGAGGAAGCTGCCTGCGGAACCCCTCATCTTCAAAACTAAGTGGGAACACAGGATTTACAATTAGCATGCCTCCACCACTGTTCTGGGGAGCAAAAATAGTTTTAGAAAATGACTTATTTAAAACATAAACTCCGAGCACAGTTGTCCAGCATCACCAAAACATTACAGTTTGTGGTTTAAACCTTAATTATAACTTTGGGAGTATTTCTATAAATACAATCGATGTGTTTTTAGAATTATTTCACTCTTACAACCAAGAGAAGCGCGTCAAAAAACTATTATGTTGACTTTGGACATGTTTGCATAAGCAACAACCCTTTTTTGCATATCATTTTTATTAGAAATGTGCAGAAGAAAGAAGAATCTCATATTTTCACAGCCTTCACAAGCTTTTCTATATCACCATGATAATCCATGTCAGAGGGCAAAGTGAAGCAGCAGTGCACAGAAGAAGTTGAACAGCTTTTTGAACAGTTGGCGTTGGCTCGAAAAAATGCTGGTGTCTTTTTCATTATTTAGATGTAAGAAAGAAAGAGTTTATTTTGTTGGGTTCTGTAGCTTTAAGGTTTTCCAACAAACAAGATGACATGAAACTGTTGAAGAAGACAAATCAGAGCCTCAAGTTGCAGCTTATTATTAATAAGTACAGTTTTTTATGGTTTCTATTTCATAATAAAATCTAATGAAATCCTCTGAGCAGCAAACCGCCGACCAAACTAACTCACTGTTTTACAACAGTACTGAAAGCAATTTGTGTGTTATGTGTGACCTAGAGAAAAAACTACACTGATACCCCAGTCCTTTTGGGGTTTGTCTTTATCAGTTTTGCACATCAGTAGGCACTTTTATCCTTTCTTTTTTGCATAATAGCTCAAGGTCAGCCAGACTGAACTGAGAGCATTTATGAACATCAATTTTCATAGATTCTCATTGGACTTAGATCCAAACTGAATAGACCGTTTTACTGTACTTTGATTTAAATCGTGAGCTTCGGGTGTGTGTCCAGTGTTGCAGTTTCTGACAGGTTTTCTTCCAGCATTGCCCTGCATTTAACTCCATCCGTCTTTTCATTTCTTCTGTCTGGCCTCACAGCTCATGTTGCCATTGCTGTGCTTCGAGGTTTGCGGTTGAACAACTCTTTTAGATGATAGATTGAAAAGTGCTCTGTGAGATCTGAAAACCTCATTATGTTGGTTTAAAATCTCACCTTAAGCTAAAGGTGTTCAAAGATCCCCAGGCTCTTTAAAAGAAAGTGAAATGGTTCATTTAGCATCAGGTAGTAATCTCTAAATTAGATTTAAAAAATATATTTTAAGGCACTATCCCACTGACTGCCTTGTAAGACATGTTTAAGGATTTTTCTGTGGAACGTTACAATAAATTATTTGAGGAAAATTTGTGGATTTTTTTAATGGAGCATGTCAAAAATGCACTTTGTGAATCTAAAATCCTTTGGCACAATGCTGCATTTTCCTTATCACTGATTGGCTCTACTCTCAAGTGCAGAATTGTCAGAATGCCATTAATACATAATTTAGTATATTTGGTGTTTGAACTATAAAATTAGCCATTATGTGTTTTTGAACGTGGTCTCAAGTTCTTGTGTATTTTGGATGTTCATTATATTGCTTTCTGCAGTGTAGTCGTTTATTTGAAGCCAATAGTTCGGCCTATCTTGATCTGTTTTCAAGAGAATATCTGTTGTTAAATGGAATGATGGTTAAAAAGGAAGGAAGGGCAAACCCAAAGCAGTATGACTGGGAAAGGCCACATTAAAAAGTCTGTATAAATGAGCATCACTCAGATTGTTCCAAGTCAAAAGACTCCTGCCGGTGATCTCAGCAGAAGACGAGCTTATGGTCGACTTTGTCATCAGATGATGTCTTTAAAAGAAAAGCCAACCAAGTAAAATGGGGGGGAAAAAGACAGAGTGTGCATTCACCAGGTTGTCAGAAACTGGTCCTGCCAAATCTGTGACATCTGCCCAATCAGCGCGGTAGAAAACATCCAGGTTGGTGCTGACCAACCGTCTGTCCACCTCAATATAGCTCCACAGTGGTAAATTGGTGAGGCTGAAGATGTCACCAGCCAGGGTGAGCTCAGTGAGTTTTCTGCACCAAAACAGAAATAGAACCTCTCGGTGAGACGATGTGCCAGCAAGGAGAAGTTTTGCTCAGAAACTGAACTTTAAGCCCAGCATATGATGCTTGAGCAGAGTTTGGGGATGTACTTACAAAATCTGCACACATTCCAAACTGTCAAGCCTTCCCACCAGATGTTGTCAAAGCAGTGCCTCATAAACTCGATTGGTTAAGGTGTGAAGTCTAAAATATGGCTCTTAGGAAGTCCATCTGGTTACTGTAGCATCTTGGCTTCAGTTCCATGAAGTCTGAGGAAATAACTTGACACATGTTTCCTTCCTGCTTTCTTTTTTTAACATCCTAGCCCCTTTCCCTCCAGCTGGCTCTCCTCTCCCTATGAATCTGTGGACCTGAGCTTTTTACTGGAAGGTGTCAGCATTTGCTTTCAAGGCATTTAGCTAATGCTATTGTCCCCCAGGGTGATAATACGGGAAAAGCCGAGGCCATACGGGTGCATAACTAAGTATTTGGCTCAAGCATGCTGTTCATGACTTGCTGAAGGCCAGAAGTTAATTGGCGCTCGCTGCCAATGAATCAAAGAAAGAATGAAATTGAAAAGAATCGCATTATGGTAAAGTTCATTTGGTGTCTGGGAGTCTTCATGAACCGCCTTTAATATAATAATCCAAAAGCATAATAGCAATGACTATTTTGTTTTCTTTTTTGCTTTTGGTCTCAGTTGGAAGGTGATTTTATTGAAACACGTTTTGTAACTAACAGATTGTGATTGTATCTATGCAATACAAAGCAGCTCATGAGTTTTATGTTAAGGTAAAATGTTGATCTTAACTGCATTTTTACCTCCTTATTGATCAAATTTTAATTTTACAAAGATATATACTTGAGTAAGATGGACTGAAAAGAGTTTAATTAGCGAGTAAAGTGCACCTGGGAGAACACAACAGGAAAGGTCAGAAAGGTAGAAATAAAATAAAAAGTAAATATGTTAGAACAGGAAGAAGACAGGAAGTTTTGCAAACGTACAAATTTTGCAATAATAAATCCACAAATAAACGGAACAAAACGGAGGGGAGAGAATGCAACAAGAAAATATCAAAGCAGAAAATAAATTAATGTATAATTTAAAAAACATGTGACAATAAATTAAAAGGTATAAAATACAGAATACGGACAAATTCAGAAGACAAAATTCACGTTAAATGAATACAGTTTGAAAAAAGAAAAAGAAATTATGAACTAAAAGAAGAAAACTAATAAAACAATATGTTTGAAATTACAGAAATAACAGTGAATTTGTCAAATTAATACCATAAATATTGAGTCATTTATTTATTTATATATTTATTGCCAATTTTGACAGGATTTATACTCCATAGCCATCAACCTAAATAATTATTAATTGTATATTTCTAAACATTTACAGCTTTTGGGGACACTTATTAAAAAAAATTCTGATCTATCACTGTAAATCCCCCCAAAAACCCATTTTAGTTTCTTATCTGTGTTTTCTTCATGCTGCTGGTTTTGTGGGTGTGTCTGCTGCTGCTGCTGCTGCTGTGAAACTCTCCAGCTGGAGTCTATCCTCTCATCAAGGACTCTGCTCAAAAGGAGCAGCAGGACATTCAGACTCAACTTGAAAGTTGTCAATAGTGTGAAAACTAAGCTTCCAGTTATTTTTGGCTGCTTACCTCACTTCTGTCTGAGCGTCTCATTTAGAGGGATTCCTCCTCAACTTTCTGCTCCTCTCTGTGAAAACTCACCTCCATGTACATCCTGTAAGAACATATGTTTGCTAAACATTAGAGTAAATTATAAAATGATCCTAAATATAACCCACAAATTCCATAATAATTGTTCAGCTTCAGAAAAAGGAGAAAAGATTGGGATAGTTTGCAAAATAGGAGTATATTTGCAAAGCAAAAATAATGATTTTTGGATGACTGTTGTAATATATTGCCATATGTTTCTGTAGCGGTGTGAGCATAATTACCCTAAAGGTCATAGGTCACAGCTTCTAGATAGTACAGGCTGAACTTTTTCCAGTTAAAGGGTTTCACCAAATGCACAGCTGAAAACATGTCAGATAAGAGGGGAAATACCCCAAAGGTTTTGTTTTTCAGAAATAAAGTCAGGAGAGATTTACTGTTTCTACCAGCTTGGATCATTTATCTCTATAGGGGAACAAAACTACAACAATATTTTGTTGTATTTTTCTCAATTCTTTTCTTCTTCACCGAGTTGACGGTGTATAAACCAGTGCATTATTGCCCCCATGACGCTGAAGTGAAAACTGTATCTGAGTGGGATGATGTTCTGCTGAGCTACAAGCTGTTTGAACAGGAGAGAATGCCTGTAAAACACAGAAATATCAGAAAAATATCCTTTAAATTTCTCACCTGTACCTTATCTGGCTTTGTGATTTTGCATTTACACCGTCAAAATATACCTTAACAAATGAAAACATTGCCGTTCGAGGCTGTGATTTGCAAAAATATGAAACATTTCATGGAACATGAATAGTTTTTTGAGTCACTGCTATGATTTTACTGGAGGTCCACCCAAATATGGAAGCTGTTTAATATTTATTTTCAGTCTTGCTCTTTGTGTGAAGAGATTTTCTGTGTTGAGGAGCCAGATTCACTTGGATGCTCTGTTAGCTCAGCTTTTTCCAGATTTATTGGAACACATGGTTAAAAAGTATAAAAAGCCTTATTATAAGGTTATAAGTCAATATTATGTTGCATTGGCGATCTGCATTCATAAAAATTCATTTTCAGGTTTTATCGGACAACATTTTGAGTGGTAGCAAGTAAATGATTCTGAGAATAGCTCATGCCACAATGTAATTTCTTTTTTATTACTATTATGTTTTTATCATGTAGAGCACTCTGAATTACCTTGTTGCTAAAATATACAATACAAATCAACTTGATTTGACAATTATTGGCATCACCAGCTGCTGCTATAAAACGTATCCAAAGCTCTTTTTTTCCAGTTTATACCCTCTTATAGTAATCTGAGTTTCTAATAACACTGATTGTGTTTCTGTGTTATAAACAGACTCATACAAAATGGTGAAACACGAGAGAACATGCCTTTCATGTGGAGCAGAAGAGTGTTGGTCTAACACCAAAAAATCCATAATTTTCTTAATTTGTCCATATTTAGAATCACATAAGCAGTTTAAACAAGTGAAAATGTGTATATATAAGGTAAGGTATGTGTACAAATAAAAGGCTTTGACTTTAACTGAACCTTGTTGGCACAAATCCTGTCATGGACTTTATACCAGAGGAGTAAATCCTGGTGACAAAAATAGCTCTTTAATCTTCCAGTGGTGAATTTGGATCAATTGGGTCAAAACTAAAAATAAAAAACTTATTTTGCATCTATTTTTTTTCTTGAGATCCCTGAAAGATGCAGTGAATTATCCAGATGGAAAAATGATTGGGACTCTGAGTCACCAGTGTTTCCAGTCTGTCCTTACCTGAATATCAACTTGTTTTGTTGACTCCATTTCAGCTTTTAAAAATCATCATTTTGAATTTATTCGTCAAAAATAAATATTTTCTTATGAGAAATTTATCAGGATAAGCAATAAATGCCTATCGAGAACTAGCTGAATCATTAATTGCACTAAAATATCTACAGATTGTAAAAGAAGGGAACAATGGTGTTGTAGCATAAAGCTTCAGGGCCTTTTTCACACCTTGGCAAAAAAAAACAGCCACAATCTCGGCTTCCACGTTGAAACAAGTAGCAGGTATGATGGGTTCCTCTGGAACAGCTGCAGGCAGAGCTGCTTGTTACCACCGTATGTATGTTTGATAAGCAACCTGGCAGAAAACAGGGGGGGGGGAAACCTCAAGCTCTAAATCTCAACAGCGTTTTATGTAACGTGTCTCTTAGAGAATGTAAAACATCTGGCTTTGCTTTCTTACAGAAACGCCCCATCTCCGACGGCTTCTTTTCTGACAACCTCTGTTTTTCAACGCCACACAAACTCATCTGCCACTTAATAAGGTGAAGCTGTTCAAATCACAGCAGCAACCTGATAATTCCATACAGTCACTCCTTATTTTAGCAATCTGAGTCATCCAAACAGATCTAAAAGAAAATGTCTAGTCTGAATTAAATTCAAACCGTGAGGTTTGAATTTAATAGTTTCAACTGTCTACAATAAAAGGGATCAAAGCGACTTCCTGTGATGCTTTAAACCATAAACTGAGACGGTGAATGATTAAGGCTGCTGCTGAATTTTTTGCAAACAGTCACAGCTGAGCCATAAACGGTCATTGTGAAATAATTTCATGCAGAGTATAGCAGTCGCAGAGGTGCTGCTGTTTCTGCTTCCTCAGGACTTCCCGCTCTCATGACTTTCGATCAGAGCATTTATTGCCACATTATTGAATTCATACATATGCTAAGCTCAGCCTGTGGCCAACCCTGTGCTCTTCTTAGAGGAGTGCTGCAGACTCCTAAGGGAGTGAAGTCAACAATTAGATGTCGCTGAATGAACATTACAATCCCTGAGGTCAACTTGGCAAATAAAAGCCATTTTCTCAGGCGGCACAGTTTGAGTCGCTGCATTGGTTGGCAGTCTGAAAGACAGCGTGTTGCTGTAGGGATCCAAATCCAGACTTACTGTGGGTGGATTTATTATCCGTTTGTTTTTGTTAGCGAAACCATGATCAGATGCTTGAATGTTGTGCCGCTGGAGCTAATTTGCTACTCCTTGAACCGATTTGTGGAACGGCAGAGAGCGTGGTTTTTCTAATATCTCTGGCCGAGTTTACAGATAATGAACTGCACTCCAGCGTCTTCATAGAGACAAAATAAGAGAGAACAATGAAACATTGAGAACATAACAGAATTTACACAGCTTATCAAAAATGTTTGGTTTTATTTCATACTGAGGAACCTGAGCATTTCACTAATTCACACCTTAGTTTCTGTTTATCCAACAACATAAATTTGACCTGCAGTCACAGTTGTAGAAAACATTAAGTCATCCCCATGATGTAAAACCTTTTAGTGCCTCAATAATCCAAAATAGTATATTTTTAGGGGGTTTCATTGCTTTTGCTGACAAATCGAAAACGTTTTCTTCTCACAAACCAACATAGTCATCATAGACAAGCTGTTACCATTTCTTTCATTAAAATTAAAACACATACAGAAACCATGATTGGTTTAAAACTTTTGCACAGTATTGCACAGCTTTGTGCACAGGGACGAAAATCGCAACCAAATGACACCCCAGTGTATTATTTCATTCCGACCTTCATGATTGTCTGTTCTCACGGTACCAGATAAATTCTGAAAAGACATTTATCTACGAAGACATCTGTGATTGGAAAATGGAGGTTGAGCTAACATTAGAAACTGCAGACGTGGATTCAATCAAAGCTCCAAGTAAGCAGTCGGGTTAGAGTGTGTTGGGAACAGGATAGTGATTCTAGATTTCTGCATCATAAGTTGGAGACAATATTTAGAAAAACTATGGCGTTGGATGGCCAGAGGAGCGTTTTTGAATCTTGATTTATTTTTAATAATCTGTGCAGGTTGTGAAACTCTCTCCCAGTATTATCTGGTGACAGTAATGAGTAGCTCGCTCTGGGCCATGGCAGCTTAGGCCAGAGGGGGTTCACATAATTTACGCCTCCCAAACCCCTGCTCCTGCATTTTCATCAACCTTATTTTTTTTAAAAAAACTCCATGAAATATCATTGCTTCGCCAGTCGACCTTGTTCCCAACAGACTGGGGTTTCAGACTGGTAATGCTTATTGTTTTAAAGTCACGGCCCTTTGAGCTGTTTAAGCAGTCATAAAAGTGAAGTTGATAAATGGCTCTACCTGCAAGAATTTTTGTTATCCGACCTTTGACCTCACATTACAGTTAGAGCTTAAAAACACATACAGCTGGGTTTTTTTTACACAAACTGTTGCAGAAAAATCTTTGTGGTATTTTTACTGTTTATGTGCTGATTATGCTGTTTGAGTAAAGACAGAAGTTACAGGCAAAACCTTTTATGTTTATGTGATTTTTTGTATAAATATTAGCACTGTTGCAGAAATTTGAAAACAGAAGAAGACGGTATTTTCCCAATTCCTTTTAGGGTTGATTTGTACATAACTCAATATGCTAGTGTTTGATACGGTGACATACTGTAGCACAAGCTATTTTTAAAACAAGTTAATCCCCAACGGCAGAAATAGCCATAAAAATTCAAAGCATTGCAAAAAGATATGAGCATTTATTGTAACCTGCTTACACAAAACCAAATAATGCATAATTTTCTGCCCAGGTTCATAACCTGGCCAGCCATGTTATGAATCTCAAGTCTTAAATCAGCAGCTGGTGCACCCAAGTGGTCGTCAATATTCCTTGAAAAGGGAAATGAAAAGCCAGACTTCTGCTTAAAGACGCTTCACTCATAACTGTCCCTCCCTTTCCTCCCCTTCAATCACAGAAAGCAACCAGCCGTCGTGAAACAATCAGGTGGACATGAGATGATGAGGATTAGGTGACAATCACAACCCAGAGGGAGCGCTTATCAGTCAAATTAATGGCTTCAAGGTCAGGTCTCAGCGCTTTCGAGACAAGTAACACTTCTAACAGCCTCACAGGTTTTCTGTATGTGAGAAGAGTTTAGGCCTTAATCTGTCTCCATCATTGTGGTTTAAAAGAGACACGATGTCGGGGCCAATAAAACACAAACATAAAACGGAGACGTTGCCATTTCTGCAGTTCAGGTTTGCAGATGAAACACAGATCATTATCTGTTACATTTTAAGCATATGCTAAACATTAGTACAAATGTTCAGTTGAAATAAGTCATATCAAACATTTCCAGAAGTTTTCAATTGAGGCTTGACTGGAACTCCTCGCCTGAGATTAACCAATGGTGAAAAATCAGGTGTTATTAGTCATTACAAAAACAAACAATTGGCTTTAGAAAGTTTTAATCAAGTCCATTTTTGTTCTCAGAGCATAAATGCCTGTGATTATTTCTGCATTCAGTTTTAGATCTGTTCAATATTAATCAACAGTTCATAAGTATGTGCAAATCTGTTTGGTTCTATAACACCCCCAATAAAATACATTTAATTGAAATTGTTTAATTTGATAGATATTTTGAAACATGTAATGTGTTGTAACTTCAGTGAGCTTTTTTAAGTGGTTTAGCATTGTAAAAGTTTTCTCCAAAAGTGATCTAATACAAGACGAAACAAACGTAACCAAAATGTAAAGACATGGTTTCGGTTTTTTCATATGTAGGATTAAATAAATATTTTATTTGGAACCAGCTTTCTTGATTTTTCTGGGTTGGTGTTGTCAGTTAAGCTAATAAAGTGAATGTAATATTTAATATGTGTCCATACGTTAAAATCCAAGGACTAATACTATTCAGGTTAACAACTTTAGCCTTTTTTGCAAAGCGGATCTTCAAAATAAAGTGCCATATTCTATCATGCAGCACCATAAAGATCACAATATTTGGAGCTCTGTTTCTATTTCTGATGAGAAGCAGCTTGATTCCTTTGTACCTCGTCATTTTTCTCCTCTGCCATAGAAGATCGCTTCATGAGAGTAACCTTCACCGCTGAGTCATCCCGTTCTCTACAGCTGAGGAGAGAGAAGTAGTCGGTTTCATACGCTGCACAAGATCTACACACTTCATGAATTCAAAGTCATGTGAACGGCATAATACTCCTCATATATTGGCATTTTTTTTCCACTTGCGCTGCGCTTTTTCGGCCATTTTTTCTGTTGGGAATTTAAATTACAACCCATACCTGCCTATCTGCCCCGCTGTGGGAATGAAATGTCAGGCGCTGTGACAGGACCAGGTGGATATTATGCTTGTGGAGCAAATGTGGCCAGCAGGGCCTGCGGGAGAGAGAGAGAGAGGCGAGGAGGGGAAATATTAACGTGGGGATAAAATGATGGTGACAGTAGAAATGGCAGTGAGCTCCAACATGGTGCTTATGGATTTATTTGGCTTGTTTTGAGGGGGAGAGAGAAAATAGAGAGATGCTGTTTCACCGTGACTCTCCGTGTGACATTTTGTCATCTCCACTTTGTCAGCACTCACTCACATGTGGCCGACATTGTGTTATATCACAAAGCTCTGCAAAAAGTGAGAGGCATTATGTTATTACTGCATATCATGAGAGCTCTGTTATAAAGTGATCTCTTCTAAAACTCAAAAAACTTCGGATTATCTTCACAATTTGTTTTTAGTACAAAAGTGTATTTTGTCTCTTATGTGTGAATGACTGATTTTATTGTCAGGTATCTTTGAGTGTCTTAATAAAGCGCTACTTAAGTTTGATGCCACTTTATTAAAATCCAGTTAATACTTTGTGCCTTTAACTGAAAGATTTGCCTGATTCTTCTTTGCAAAAATGGTTTGACCTCATTGAGACTGGAAAATATCTGAGGACAGCAACGTTTGACCCCAGTTTACATGCACAAATCAGAACATGATCATTATATAGTGAAAACCTCTGCAGAATCCATAAAACAATTAAAAACCATCAAACATAGTGAGATATGCAGCTTACTGTTCTTCCACAAATCTCTCAGGCCGTAGCAAAACAGATTATTAGCCTTTTATTTCCAACCATGTTAAGAACAGAAGAAACGTTTTGGATAAGAGGAAAAAAAGTTCATTTGACTCGTATTTAAGTACTTGTCATGTCCTAGATGACTTGGTTCTACTGGATTCAAATAAATCCATCCCACTTCTTCCACATTTCACTAATAACAATTGTTGAAGTTGTTTCCTTTCAGATGTACTTCTTTGTGTTGTTTATTCCAATAAGCTGGAATAAAGTTTATGGCTTTGCTGTGACAAAATGTGAAAAAAGTACTGCTGTTGTACTGCAGTTCAACTTTCTTCACTTGTTTGATCAAATTTTATATTATCATCTTTATTTGTATCTGTTCATTTTAATGGTTTATATTACTTGCAAATCTGTGGACTAAAATCCCACAAATAAAATTTATGCTGGTGCGAATACAGTTGTTATATTGATTTCTTTGCGACTGAAAATGAAACCCTTATGATTAAAATATGCATTGAGAAACCATTAAACACTCCAGTCGGCAGTAAGACGTGTTAATGAGCAACAAAACATTTAATTAAGCTCTAGCAGATTGCAAAATTAAAAATGCATGTTTATGCACAGTTTAAGCTTCACCCTCTGAGGCTCATTATGGTGCCACATGGATTTTAAATCAAATAGAAAAGATTTAATCATAATTTTAGATCAAATGTTTGAGACATTGGTATTGAATTCCTGCCTGTCAAAATGAAGATGAGGATGTTCAAATGTCTGAATATATATTATAAACTACATATCCAGCATACATATATATATATAGCTTGATATATATGCAGGATTTATTGATGAGTGAATTTGTAACTGGAAAGTAATTTGCAGATAATCAGTCCAATAGGACATGACTTAAAATTTTACCGTAAAACTAAACATTGTTGCAGAAACACACACACACTCATCATTCTTCTTAGAAGAAGTAGCTTTAAATAGCTGTTTTGCACTTATTTATTTGATTCTTTAAGGTTGAAAACATATTACCATTCAGTCTTGAGTTGATGATAAAAAGTTTTTCTTTCTCCTTCAATTCTCCTTCAAAGTTCACGCACACGATGTCTGCAACATGGACAGCCTGATAAAAGAATTAGGTGCTGAGCTTTGTTCCCTTCAATTATCTGGTTGCTCTTCCATGTTAAGACTCCTGCTGCTACCAGTCATTCTTTCTTTCCAACATCCTTGAGGGGAATGAGTTGAAATGCTGGATCGATTTCTACCTCTTCTCGCATTGTTGCATGCATTGCTCGGCTGGGTTTGGGTGTGTTACTTTAATACCGTCTCTTTCGCTCTCTGAGGTAAAGCCAGGCTGTCTTATCGGATGAAACTGCTAGAGACCAGGGTGCAGAGAATAAATATAATGGCACTTGAAAAAGAAATCAGCTGAACTTGGCGAGGAGGATGAGAGAATGAGATTTTTTATTCAAACATCAAAGCTTTTTTGTAAATGTGTCCTCTGAAGCCAAGGGGTATTTTACTTTTATTTTAGCCTCTGCTTTTGTTCACTTTCATTTCACACTTTTCATCTCTGCATTACAGAAGAATAAGAAGGTATGCAGTGATTTCAGAAACTAGTGAAACTCTGATCCAAAAAGGTAAAATGTCACCTCAGACAGTGGATTCTTTCACTGGACATCACACACCTGAGATGCTGTCTTAATGCCATCTCTGTATGGTTCATAGAAATACTAAAGTGGCAGGAGGAGTAAAAGTTAACCCACCAGTGTTACTCCACTAAAAATATATTTTCTTCATTTTTCCAGATTTATATTTATATTCAGAGCTACGGCTCAATGTCAGACATTGTACAATTTACAAAGGGAGTAAATGTGATGCTGCATTCACACTGCCACACATATGTGCCTGTATGTGTTCTGCAACCTGAACGGGCAAAAGATCTGAAAGTGTTCAGACTGTCATGAAAAGATCAGATACAGGTCAACTTACGTCAGAAATAAAAGAGAATTGGTTCACTGCAGCCTGCAGTGTGAACGCAGCCTGAATGCGTTTTGAGCATCAGGCGCCTGGTTCCAAAGTCTATGCAGGAGCATTTGAAGCATTTGAAGCATTTGGAGCGTTTGATGCGTCCAACATTGGAGTTGGAAAATCTGAACGTTTGCCACTTGTAGTTTTGTAGTTTTTGACGACCTCTGAGGAAAAAATCACTATGGAGGTCAAGCTAATTGTCATTGTTTGCTCTGGTCCTATAATCTATGACCAATCAAGTTACAACTACAAAGACAGGAATAGAAGGATCTTGCTTGGAAGAGTCTCCTCTCAACGCCCGCCGAGAACGACTGTGATGCACATGTAGCAAAATGTCAAGTGTCTTCCCCCGATACTCTTGCAGGATCCCCAACTAAACACCTGAGCGCTCGGTCGTAGGCCTGCTCCAGATCCACAAAACGCATACAGACCACTGGAGAAGCATACGCTCATGACTACCTCAGCAATTCTGCAACACTTACACTAATACAAAAGTCCATCTGTCATCTTACTTATGTCTTTATGAGTCTTTTCCTGGAACCATTAAGTTTCAAATTTTGGCTTCTGAAAGGTTGGAAACGAGGTCGTGAACAGGAAGTAGGTTTTGCTTTGCTACAATCAGTGTTTCCTTCCTGTCACCACTCATTCAGGCCTCCAGGTGCAAAAATGAACAGATTCCTGATGCTGATCACCGGCTTTGTTCAAACCTTGAAAGGCTTTTGGACTCTCTCTGTTAATTAGGCAATTCTGAGATCTAAGGCACGGTGGTTAAAACAGCATCATGTGTCAAGCATTTATCCAAATGGCATTTGCTATTTACAACAAAGGTAAAGGGTATCTGTGATCTCCTTTCAGATGGCCTCGTCTTATGCGTTCATAGGTGTTTATTAGTTGGTGATGATTGGACTTGTTGATGTACATAGTGTTCCCTCTTCTCAATATGCGCAAATAAATTGGGCCTGAATGAAGGCTGCAGTTAGATTAGTTGATTTACTGACTCTGTGCCTCTAAGAGTTTTCTCTCATCTCCTGTGCTGGAGTTTGGTTTGCAAGAGGAAAAAGAGCAGTGGGGGGAAAAGAAATGAAGCAAAAAATGATTGATTTTAATGGATTTTGCTGGAGGAAAAATGAACTGAGTTCATTAAATAACAATGAGAGAGCATCACAATGCAACTTCAAACGGTTCCTTTATGAGTGGGATGTTTTTCTGTGGAGCAGCCATTTAATAACTCGTCTGTTATTCACGAAAAGGGGAGTGTGACCTTGAACAAACCTTGTTCTCAAAGAAATTAATTTATAGCTCAAAATGAAAGAAGGATAAGACTTGCGTAAGATAATTCCTTTAAACTCTATTTATCCTCGTTTGACTGGTGGCATCTTTGTAAAGCAGACTTCAGTTTCAAGTTTTGAAATTATTATTATTACTTTAATAATAGTTAAAGTATTATTTAATTATAATACGTCCAGAAAAGAAATTTGTAATTAACTGGATTTGGCTTTTGTTTTGGGTTTTTTTATAAGGGGAGATTTTTTTACCCCCCTGCAAGTAATTCCAGTAATTTAAAGGAAAGGTTGGAACAGGTAGTTCAGGCAGTTTGTGGGAATAAAATCCTAAAAATAATTGCCCAATAAATATGAATGATGAAATCTTTCTAAGAATTAAAAAAAATTAAATTAATTTGGTCTCTATGCTCTGACAGCTCCTTTAAAGAGAGTTCAACAGTTTTGATTTTAATTTATGTCCTTATAAATGATGTTCTTTTGTTTACACTTTGAGGGGAACAAAATAAATTTGAATTTTCTAGTTTTATAAACTCCCAGACCTGTTGTCCTCTCTGCCGTGCCAAGAGAGAATCATATCCATGCATAGGGAAAACATGCTAATTTAATTTCACGGAGAACGATCCCAGTCAGCGTTTACACCAGCTTCCACGCTGCGCTGCAGCCGTGCAAAACACCAACACACAATGTCACCACAAATATCAGAC